GAAAAAACTTCATCAAGTCACCCACCAAACTCAACCCCTTGAACTTCTAATCTCAGGTAACCATCGAGAGTCCATAACCTTCTTTGTTTTTTCATCCGCATGTTCCCCACTGGTACTGGGTTATGAATGGCTGGAGAAGCATAATCCCCATATTAATTGGGCCGATCGTCATGTGGAGTCCTGGTCCACATTGTGTCACCAGACCTGCCTCCGTTCTGCAGCTCCCGCTGTGGGGTCCCCTAGAGGTGGGGGGGAGATGGACGTCCCTGACCTTACTTCGGTACCCCCTGATTACCATGATTTGGCTCCTTTTTTCAGTAAGGTCAGTGCTTCGTCCCTTCCACCACACAGACCATACGACTGTGCCATCGAGTTATTACCCGGTGCTCCGTTACCCAGCAGTAGACTTTATAACATTTCCAAACCAGAACGTGAAACAATGGAAAAATACATTAACGAGTCGCTAGCTGCAGGAATAATTCGCCCTTCTTCATCCCCGTTGGGCGCAGGATTTTTCTTTGTTGGAAAAAAGGATGGTTCTTTGAGACCCTGTATAGATTATAGAGGCCTGAACCAAATCACTATCAAAAACAAATATCCTCTTCCTCTTCTCGCCTCAGCCTTTGAGCCTGTACAAGGAGCTACCGTTTTCACAAAGCTCGATTTAAGAAATGCCTATCATCTCCTTAGGATACGTGAAGGAGATGAATGGAAGACGGCATTTAACACTCCTTTGGGCCAGTTCGAGTATTTGGTCATGCCTTTCGGCTTAACAAATGCCCCCGCATGTTTTCAGGCCCTAGTGAACGACGTCCTCAGAGACTTTCTCAATGTGTTTGTATTCGTATACATTGATGATATCCTGATCTACTCCAAGAATCTATCTGAACATAAGAGACATGTCCGCCTGGTTCTTCAGAGACTTCTAGAGAATAAACTTTTTGTAAAGGCTGAAAAATGTGAGTTTCACCAATCTTCAGTTACCTTTTTGGGGTTTGAGCTCGAGGGCGGGCAGGTTAAGCCTTCTGAAGAGAAGATAAAAGCTGTTTTAGAATGGCCCGTTCCAGAAAGCCGTAAGCAGCTACAAAGATTTTTGGGCTTCGCTAATTTCTACCGGAGGTTCATCAGAAATTACAGCCAAACCGCCCTCCCATTAACTGCATTAACTTCTTCCAAGAGAGTTTTTCGTTGGTCCCCCGAGGCACAAGCAGCTTTTGACAAACTCAAAACCTTGTTTTCCAGAGCTCCAGTCCTAATCCAACCAGATCCATCTAAGCAATTTATCCTAGAGGTTGATGCTTCTGACTCCGGTGTAGGGGCAGTTTTGTCTCAGAAACTCGACTCTGATCAACGAATCCATCCCTGTGCCTTCTTTTCCCGTAAACTCTCTCCCGCAGAACACAACTACGACGTTGGGGACCGAGAACTTTTGGCCATTAAGTTGGCTTTGGAAGAATGAAGACACTGGCTCGAAGGAGCTGAGCATCCAGTCCTGGTGTGGACTGACCACAAGAATCTCGCCTACATCCAGTCCGCTAAACAAGCTACTCCTCGACAGTCAAGGTGGTCTCTCTTCTTTTCACGTTTTAATCTCATTATCTCCTACAGACCTGGATCTAAGAACACCAAGCCCGATTCTTTCTCTCGTCTCTACGCTGTGGATCAACCTGAGTCACCCCAACTGTCCTCCCTGCCTCATGTACCGTTGGAATGGTCACTTGGGAGATAACAGATTTAATCAACGCTGCCCTGGCCACAGAACCTGACCCAGGTAATGGACCACCTAACCGTACCTATGTCCCCTCGTCTGTTAGGTCTCGTCTCATTCATTGGATGCACTCAGCAAAATTCTCTGCTCATCCGGGAGTGAGCCGAACAGTTTCACTGATCTCAAGACGGTTTTGGTGGCCCACTGTGCATCGAGATGTAAAGGAATATGTGTCAGCCTGCTCCACCTGTGCACAGAACAAAGCCTCTCATCAGCCACCCTCTGGTTTGCTGCAACCACTCCCTGTGCCCTCACGTCCTTGGTCCCATATTGCCATCGATTTCGTCGCTGGTCTCCCAGAGTCTCGAGGTATGTCAACTATTTTAACCCTCGTAGATCGTTTCTCCAAATCTTGTCATCTGATCCCTCTCAGAAAGCTTCCTACGGCCTATCAAACCGCCCAGTTGCTGATCAAGCACGTCTTTCGCCTCCATGGTATTCCCCAGGACATCCTCTCAGATCGTGGTCCCCAATTTGTCTCACAGGTTTGGAAGGCTTTCTGTTCTGCTCTAAATTGTAAAGTGTCACTAACTTCTGGCTATCATCCCCAGTCAAACGGTCAAACTGAGAGGATGAACCAACAACTCGAATCCACCCTCCGCTGTCTCACCTCCAATAATCCCACCGATTGGAGTCAATATCTCACCTGGATAGAATACGCCCATAACTCACTCAAGTCTGCATCTACCGGTCAGTCTCCCTTCCAAGTTAGCCTCGGCTACCAACCACCTCTCTTCCCTGCAGACGAGAGAGAGATATCGGTGAAGACTGTCAATCACCACATCCGTCGTTGCCAGCGTGTTTGGAGAGAGACCACTCAACCGTTCCTCTGAGTCTTCTAAGAGGTTCACAGACCCCAAGAGACGTCCAGCCCCCGAGTACAAGGTCGGCCAGGAGGTCTGGCTGTCCACCCGGGACATCCCCCGCAAATTATCCCCGAGATTCATCGGCCCATACAAGATCACTCGAGTCATCAACCCCTCCGCCGTCCGTCTTCAACTTCCCCCGACACTCAGGATTCACCCTACGTTCCACGTCTCCCAGGTAAAACCAGTCATCTCTAGTCCCATTTGCCCTCCATCCGACTCCCCTCCACCCGCCCTGGAGGTCGATGGACACCCGGCCTTCACCGTTCGCCGGATCGTGGACTCCCGTCGGCGAGGTCGCGGTTGGCAGTACCTCGTCGACTGGGAGGGCTACGGTCCGGAGGACCGTCAATGGGTTCCTGGTTCATACATCCTCGACCCTTCTCTCATCGAGGAGTATGAGCGTTCCCTCCCGTCTACCTCTTCCGCACCGCCAAGGGGTGGTCGTTGAGGGGGGGGGGGGTACTGTTGGGAGCTGGAGAAATACACCTTTTCTCCAGCAGAGTCCGCCCTGGATCCTCCCTGCTGAGCTGCTCTGCACACCTGCAGCTGATGATCTCATCTGGAGGACCTGGACTACTTAAGCTGCCTTCTGACCTTGCCTCGACGCCGCAGTGTCTTAATCAGTTGGTTAGCACTTAAGCCATAGATCCCTAGTGAACCAAGTCTCCTTTGAGTCCAACTTGGATTCTAACCCTTTTGTCTCTGCTTCCAGGTTTCCTGTTCTTTCTCCTGTGAAGCTCTGGAAGAGCTTAACCTGCCGAGCCAGCCCTCCGAGCCAAACCTGAAGACTCTCTCTCTGGATCTCCTAGCAGCTCTGGATACCGAGCTGGAAACACAAGCCAAGGTCAAAACAGCCTTTAATCCTTTAAACTAATTACAACTAATTGTCAGTATATTTAGCTCACATTTGGTATTTATACTTTTTCAATAAACGTTTTAAATTCTAATTAAAGCAGAAAGACTTGGTAGAAAAAAGCACATATACACTATCAAGAAGGCATAATCCAACTAATGGCATCAATATAGACAAGAATACAAAGCTATAAAAAAAGATGCAACATCTGAAGTGATATGTTGACAGGTTAAGCCACGCTTACATTGCCCATTTTATACATAGGTACAGTAGACATATTAAATGCATAAACAGAAAAAAGAAAGCAGCAGAACTCTTAAACACACAAGCCACTAAATCAATTACAGCAAGCTGTAATTTAAGCTCTTAATGTGCCAGATGACTTTGCTACAAGACCTCAAAAGCTTAAAATCTGACAAGTCCCCGTAATCTAGATCGTACCTACAGCCACATGATAAAATACCCAACAACAATCAGTTCTGTTGCTTCATCACAGAATATTTTCTTTCAAGCAGCTTAAACTGGCATATTAATAATGTGTTTGTATTTAATAAAACATTTCTTGCTTTCTGCCAAGCTCGAGTATCATCATTAGAGAAAAAAACTCCACCCAACCATGACCCAGTAAAGCTGTGTGTTGCATATCAGAGCACTGTGGAGAATCTTTTCCTCATCTGCTTCTCTTTGCCAATTTAATCATATAAATAGTTTATCTTTTTAAAAGTGACTCTTTATAGGCTGAGAGGGTAGGAGAGTTATCTCCTCAACTATATTCAAATTGGGTTTAAAGTGGTGCTGAATTGTACAATGTACTCTGGTTTAAAAATACGAATGAAGTTTGATTAGCTGTACAAAAAAGAGAGCCAAAAATGCCCATAATGCATAAAAGATGACATATAATTAGATCTACGATATTAAAACATAACATTTTTGTATAGACAAGTGGTTTTATTGCAGCTCAAAGCAAAGTATAAAGTTTATGAGGAAACTAGATATTATTTACATTATCAAAGAAGCTAAATGAAAGTTGAACCTCAGATGAAAAATATTACCGAGTTTTTATCCACTCTTTCCAATAGTTTTTTGTTTCCTCCTTGTCTGGCAGTCTATCCAAAGCTGTTTAAAGGTGTGAGCGTTGCACAGTAGTAGCCATTCAAAATTTCCCCACTTTCCTTGATGGGCCCTTGGTTGGTCCCTTACAATTCCTTTTTAAACATCAATCTTTGTACTAAAATATTCTTTATGTCATGATTTGTGGACATTAAGATCTAAATAGAAGCATCCTCTTCTGGTCAGACCCTGTAATTCAATGAAAGGGTGCAGTCAGACTAAAAATAAATAAAAATGGGAAAAGGCCAGTGGCTGGAAGTTGGAGGGGATTTTGCTGGAAGTTGCAGGGGAGTAGGCTGCCATCCAGCTGGTGTTTGACTGGGAAGGGACATTCTGAATGGCTGTTACTGTATAAGAGCAGTTAGCTGTATCAGCAGTACAGTATGTCTGTGATGCTTACCTATACTCTTCCTGAGTGAAGATTGGGATAAGTGAGGGCTGAAGGACAGTGATCTCCACCAAAGTACTGTTTGTCTTCACTGGCTCCCCATTATCAAAGGCGATCACAAACAACTACAAAGAGACACAAGAATTATACACTCATGAAAAAGCAAACACATAATGATCACCACTCTAAACCATACTGCTTAACTAGAAAGTGAAGTGTTTTTTGAAGTTCCTACCAGGTGCTTTTTTTTTTTTTTTTTGTAGGCATGTTCAGCATCTTGATAAAATCATAATGGCAAAACCTTGCAAAAGCATATTTAGGGAGATAATTATTTGTACTGATCAAAATTCAGCAGCTATGCAAGAGGCTGAGAGCATTAGACAGTGCAGTGTGAGAGATACACAGAGAGAGAGCGCAAATCTTATTTTTTAAAGTACACTACAGAGTAGATGAAGAAAAAATAAACATATGAAAGAAAAAGGAAACAAAAAGTGTTACATAAAATGAAAGGCACCTAACAACCTGAAACACATATCTAATTTCCTCACTCAAATAAACTCACAACTACATAGCAGACAGAAGACAGCATTTTAAATTAATAGGAGAACACTTTATTTTGACTGTTTTTTACTCATATAGCTTGGTTTAAGTGATGGTTTTATTTTGATCAACTTTTTTTGAAGCTAAGGTCATGATTATTTTTTGATGGTGTAATTGTTTTACATCAGCAAATAACTGCCATATGTAGCTGGGGTATATCAATATTTGAGCTAGTGGAATTCCAAATTATTGTAACTGAATTTAAAGTTTTTCAACAATCCATTAAATCATTTGAGGTAATAAATATTTTATAGTGCATGGTGTACTTAGTGTTGGGCTAATGGTTAACAAATATTTATATCTTGGAATCTTTTTATTGTTGTCCACCGGTTTAATTTCCAATACCTTTAGAAACTACATTATCTATACTCTATTAATTAGGACTATATATTAAATCAGATACAAAGTTTTTTTCTACCTATGTGTTTGTGTGTCTTAAATAGAAATTATTTATGATCTGTCTTTGTGTCTCATTTTTGTCCACTGACCATCCAGCTGGCTTAGGAATTTGGCTGCCCTTACCGACTCTGTTTCCACCAGAGCTTTATTCCAATTAAAATTATTTCTAATATCATCAGCCAACCTGCACATGTTTGGGACAGTGTATTTAATTAAAGGGAATTTTCATTTTTCTGTATTTGCTTTTTCACTGAACCATTTTCACAAATGATCATTTTTATGGTTGCTTTTTTTTGGAAGTTAAGGGCACTGATTACATTTGGAAGAAGTTCCAATATTTTAAATTTGAAACACCTAAATTGAAACATAAATAAAAACAGTTTTTTAAAAAAAGATCTTTTTGTTTTCCTTCTAAATAGGTTTTAGTAGTACAGATTTAAATCAAATTAACAAACTTGAATTTACGTACAAATCTGCCGAAAGTAAGTGTTTTGACTGCCCAAGTTGTCTAATCATGTTGTCAAACATGACTGTCAAAAAAATTATATAACTTAAATCATTTATATAGCAATAATTCACAATATGTCATCTCAAGGCACTCGTAAAAAAAAGTGAAATTATTCAGACGGATACATAAAACATGTTTTTAATCTGAGAAAATCCTCCAGCTGCATAGTCACTGATTTACAGCATTCACTCCCACTGGATGAGCATGTGCAGTCAGCTGTATTGTGCAGCAATTCCTCAATGCAGCATTAAAGAAAGTTTACTTCTCATAGTTTATCTCATTTTTACACGTGACCCCGATTTCTTTCTGTAGTCCCTCTTAAGCAAGTTTATACCTGTTCCCAAACATCTACTGATGACTAAACACTAGTTTACAATGTTTAAGACAAGCTCACATCATGTTAGTAAAAAACTTTATGTTACGTGAGTGGGAATATTATGCATTTTGGTTTTAATAATGAAGTGTTTACTGTTTTGCATTATATCATTATCATTTCCTATATATATACATATATATATTTACATTCCTATATATATCTGAGGCTCTTTAAACTGTTAATAAATAAGCAACCTAAGGCAATTTTTTAAGCTTTAACTTTTCCATATCACACTGATAACCTGAAGAAAACGTTGCTTCTACAACAACCACGGTTTTCTCCTTCTGTGCTATTTATAGCTACTATGACTCAACTCACATTCCATGTAAACCCCCTAAATAGCACATTTGTTCCCTTCGACATCTGACTTCACTTCTCAAATTTGTGAATATCACAGCTAATATTTTGAAAATCTCCAACAAACCTTATTTCAGGTAGGATGTTGACCAGAGTGACCATAAAATACTAGCCTTGTTAGTATCCAGGGTAGAAATCCATGGAGATTTGGACTCTCTTTTACAAGGATAGACTGGTTAAGATGTAAATTCACAACCCCGACCCTTGCCCTAACATTACCAAAACATACCTTACCTTAAAGCTAAGCTCAACTGAATTCACAACTCAGTCCTTAAATTAACCCACACAACAAGAAATTGGGGACTTAAAGGTACCTGTGGGTACCTTTAAGTCCCCAAATGTAGCTTATTTCTTTTATTACTGACATACTAAGAAAAACATGTTTATTTGTGAACAATTCCATTGAATGAACATAAAGCAATATCTATAGAGTGATCAAGGGCCTCTTGGCAACCTCTCTGATAGTTTAGAGGGATGGTCGGCTCTTCGTAGATTTGCAGTGGTTTGATACTTGTGAAATATTTTTGTATCCAAATCAGGCTTTAAAATTCTCCACAACAGTATCTCAGACCTGCCTGGTGTACTCCTTGTTCTTCATGATGCTCTCTACGCTTTTAACAGACCTCTGAGACGATCACAGAGCAGGTGCGTTTACTGTATAAGAAGACTTGATTTCATACAGGTGGATTGTATTTGTCATCATCAGTGATTTAGGTCATCAATAGATCATTTAGAGATCCTCACTGAATTTCAGGGGAAAGTCTGCTGCACTGAAAGTAAAGGGGATGATTCATTTTACATGTCCTACTCTTCAGTTTTTTAATTGTTAACAAAGTTTAAAATATCCAATAAGTTACATGATTGTGTCGCTTTTGTTGTTGATTCTTCACAAAAATTACACTTTTATGTCTTTATGTTTGAAGCCTCAAATGAGGCAAAAAGTTGAAAAGTTGAAGGGAGGCAAATAGGCACTGTATGTGTATATATATATATATATATATATAAAATATGTATTATCGCGATAACGCGATAATTTTGACAGCACTAAAATATATATATATATATATATATATATGTATATATATATTAGTGCTGTCAAAATTATCGCGTTATTATCGCGTTAACGCGAGGCCATTTTAATGGCGATAATTTTTTTAACTTGAGATTAACGCTATGTGGTTTTATGGTACAATTTTCCAAGTACATCCCACTGCAGCCTGCGGGAAGGCGGGGGTATTTTCCCCCAGTCTATGCATTTTCCATAGGCTTCGAGAGCGGAGCTCCTCAAGGAAAAAAGACGCTCATACACTCGGTAGCGCTAGTGCCTTTTCTTTAAGCCCCACCACCAACAAACAAGTTGAGTGTCTGGTGGCTAGTAGCAACCTGAAATACGCTGAGAAAACAGATTACTGAGGTGAAATGGAATCTGCTACGGCACTCTTGCTGTCTGTGTACGCCACAGGTCAGTATCGTGTGTGTGTGTGTGTGTGTGGGTGGGTGTGTGTGTTCTCATTTTTGTTAAGAGGCTGAAAAGTAACTTTCTAGAGCATAGACTACCTCCATCTAGTGATGTCGGTCTATTGATTTTGATGTATTGATTGAAAATTGTTCATTATTACCTTGGTTAATTAACATCTAATGTTAACTCTACTACATTTTATAGCAGTAGGGTAAAATGCTTGTCTTTGTTAAAAAGACTGTATTAACTGTAAAGACTGTCTTTTACATCAGCCTGTTTTCAGGGCATTTTTTTTGCCTACATATTTGTTATTTTTTGCTACATGCCTCCCCATCTTCTTGCCATATGTTTCTATGGCATAAATCAGTGTCTGTGACCTGTTTTCATAAAAAAAAAAAAAGAACATTGGCACAAACTTAGCATGTATGTATTTTTTGTATGTCATCGAGAGTATTTAAATGATTTTCAATCAGAAAAAAAATTTGCGATTAAAATGCGATTAATCGCGAGTTAACTCAGGCATTGATGCGATTAATCGCGATAAAAAAAATTTAATCGATTTACAGCACCAATACATATATATATATACACACATGTATGTATGTATATATATATATATATATATATATATATATATACACATATAGATAGATAGATAGATAGATAGATAGATAGATAGATAGATAGATAGATAGATAGATAGATAGATAGATAGATAGATAGATAGATAGATAGATAGATAGATAGATAGATAGATAGATAGATAGATACACACTGGTTTAGCAGCTCACCTTAAAGGTGATGCTTGGGTCTTCATTGAGGTTGACTTTGGTAATGACTCTGCCAGTTTCCTCCTCAACATCAAAGATGCTTCCGCTGTAGGGGGACTTCTCCAGGTCCACTCTGTAGCGTACTAAACTGGCTGGGGTGCCCTAAAAGAAGAAGGAAAAAAGGAAGAAAGAGTAGTTGGCATGATTCTTTACAACACCTACCTTTACTATAAAAAAACAGACTTCTAGCAACAAAAGTGCAAAGATACTGTTCAATATTTGTAGGTATATAAAAAGAAACATACTTCCTTGAGCTGAAATGGATTATGCAAATGAAAAGCAGGTTTGCCCTGTGTTTTTATCCTGAGGGGCTACCCTTATGCATCATAATATCCATGTCTATTTAAAAATCCCTTAGATAATTATAACGACCATTTGCCTGCACTTTAACACCATCCATAATAATATCATTTTGATTTACTGGACTAGCCTATCAAAAAATGTCCCCACTGAGGTCTATGCTGACCAAACCAAGCAGTATATATATACATACATACATACATACATACATACATACATACATATATATATATTTTTTTTTTACTTCACGCTCTTACTTATGCACTTTAACACTGTTCGTGGTCTTTTAATTTTAGCTTCATTCGTATTGAAATGTGCTTTAATTTGCTGGACCAGGGGTCTCCAACCTGCAGCTCCATTGCCAGGAGTAGTTCTTTGACTTGTTAATATAACTGTGAACTAACTGTTTTCTTGTTTCTTTTGCTCTGTGCCACTAGATGTGCTCTATGCCAGGTATCCTGTTCTAGCAGGAGCTTTTTCAGTGTAGAGTTTGTATCCTGTTCTAGCAGGAGCTTTTTCAGTGTAGAGTTTGTATCCTGTTCTAGCAGGAGCTTTTTCAGCCTAGAGTTTTCTCCAGATCACTTAAGTAGGGAAACCAAAAATTAAAAAACAAACTACTCTCTATTTTCAATATTACTATTTTAAATTTTTTTATATATAAATAATTTAAAAAGCTGTTCTTTTCTCATGTTTTATGTTGGTTTTATTTTAAAAAAATGACTGAACTAATACATATAGATTGAGGTTTTCTCTGTGTTCTGCTACACAGGTTCAAAAGCTAATATGATAAATCCTGAATTATTCTTAAAAAGTTCTAAAATTAATCTCATGAGTAATTGAAAGTATTCCTACAGACTCCAATGATATAAGTTTCCCAACCATGTTCTGTTTTATTCTAATATGGTCCTGTAAGGTTCAAGTCTCATGTCTTGCTACTGGCTTTTTGCTACTAAAGAATTAATCTGTATGTTGTACATGACCTCTAAAGAAAATTTGTCGAGTTTGGTTCCTGAGAAAGAAGCCTATCTGCATAATTGCACTTGTGCTTTCTTCAACCATGCAACTTACCGGCCGACACATAAAACAAAAGACTACACAGCCAAATGAAGGCAGTATATAAACACTGTGTGTTTCTCCTTTACGATATTCTGATGTAGCCAGCTTGAATTTACACTAAAAACAGGCAAAGTAACATAACATTGGTTCATTTAACATTTATTTATTTATGTATCTAATACATGATTTGAGTATTTAACATTCCAATGAATTGTAAAAGTCAAAACTAAATGTCCCAATAATTAATTGCAAATATATTAAACATTTAACAATTAAATGTACTTTATTAAATGCATTATTGAATTACTGAATATAATTACTTCACTTTATGTTTAAAAATTGAATACAGAGTAAAGTATTTACATGTATTATTAGGGGGTTGCCAGTTTGTTGCAATGTTATTTATGGAGTCAAAGTCTGACGTGTTTTGGGAAACCCTGATTAAGAGCATTAGGGTGTTTTTTTCATAACCTCAATTGACATATTTTGCATTTAATTGAAAATCACTATTTTGTCAGATTATATATGATTTTACTTTCTTCAATTAAATTCAGTTTATTTATATAGCGCCAAATTCAAAACACGTGTCATCTCAAGGCACTTTACAGTTCAACCAGATCATACAGTCAAATTGATACAAAGTTTTCTAACTAAGGAAAACCAGTTGATTGCATTGACTCTTCTTTTTGTTGTTTGTGCTACACCAACTTGTTCCTATTTAAATTTTCACATTTTAAGATAAAAATGTAAAAACACTAGCAATTTCAAATGGAAACAGGAAACTTTTGGAGTTACAACTGAGGCCGTGCAGGAGGATACAGTAGTTTGCCTACTTCTGAGATAAAGCAGATGAACAACAGCCAGAGTGACATTGTAGAGATGTTCTACCACCTACAGCTAGAACTGACAACCATCCATTTCCCTTAGTATTCATGTGCAGCAGAGAGAATACAGGCTTATTCAGGCTTGGCAAGAACCAACCAGCAGGAGGGCAACTAATAACATCAGAGTCCAGTCATGCAAAACTACATAAAAAAAAAACCCTGACTCAAAGCAGAAGAGGCATTTTCTTTCTTATTTTTTAACATTGGAAAAGCCACAAATAAACAAGTTTAAAGGTTAGATATTTAGACTGATATGGCCTCTGAAAACATTTTAGGCGAATGTCACGGCACTGAGCACTCTCAGAATCAGTGGATGACTCATAGAAGTAAAGATGCACCAGAAGATCTTTTTGCAGTTTGAACAGAGCAAAGTTAAGATACACACTGACATGAATTTCCAATAAGAGGATTGCAGTTTGGAGCAAATCCTGAAAATGGTTTATGTAACATATTCTAATTGAAAATGATTCATTTCTGACAGCAACAAGCAAATGCAAGGAATAATTTCCCTTCCTGTATTTCAACTAAAATCAATGCAAGGGATGTAAATAAAAAATACAGATGCAATCTGAGTTATTCTGTGGGCTGAACTCACTGGTGGGTCTTGGTCCTCAGCAAAAACGGTTGTGATGACTGTTCCTTTGTCTGCATTGGGTGCCACCAAGCCCTTGTACAGTTCTTGAGTGAAGATGGGTGAGAAGTCATTCATGTCCTGAAATAGAAAATGATAAAAGGCATTGGAAATGAAAATAGAAAAATAGTATGTACATGAAGCATTATCGTAAAACCTACGTCAATTAAACTAAGTAATTTTAGGTGAGTCCAGTGCCGACAGCCTACTAAATATTCTAAGTTTTTAATTACACAGTGTATGTGGGCATCGGTGTTGCAACAATGGGGGATAAGGGGATGTTACACCCACATTTCTCATATTTGAATCATGCTTTATGTGAGGATGGTCCATATTTGCAGCAGTTATGTCTTCGAAAGTGATTTTTTTTTTTTTTGCTTTGTCTCTTTCAGCCCTAGTTCCTTAGTAAGCAGCATCCGTGTCATGCTGAAAAATGATTCCCATACTCAAAGCTAAAGGAGCGCTTATAACTGTACAGTGTTCCACACTTGCCAACTCTCCCGATTTATGCGGGAGACTCACGATTTTTAATGGTATCTCCCGCCGAGTAATTTCAGTTTCTCCCGCTAATCTCCAGATTATTCAGTGAGGGAAAAAAAGTAAGCTTGTTGGGGATATATGCCTGCGTGTAATGGTCTCGGGGTTCATGTGGGACAAGTCCCCCACACTTTTCATATCTGTCTCCTGCAATTCTTTTAGCCATTAAAACAGTGAAATCCATTATAAGTATGCAGTAAATTATTTTTCTGAGCTGTCTTTGAAAGCACCATAAGCTTACATATGTTAAGGCAGAAGATTGAAATGAGACGTGATGCTGAGCTGAACGTGAGCATCAGGATGTTTAGCAAACCAGGCGGCAAGAAGCAAAAAACTTTTTTTCCCAAACAATCCATCTAAGTTGTGTAACATTGTTTGGAAATAAGTCTGGTTAGTTAAATGATGACAAGGTAAAATATGCCAATAAATCAATATGTTAGCTAGTTAATATTAATTTCAAAGGTTGCTACCTCTGTGACATTGTCTGCTGGTTAGTTCATTCTTTGAATAAACCAGTGCTCTTACATTTCTGGCCAGACTTTGTTTCCTTTCGTACGAAACTTTGTTTTTTTATATACGTTTAGGGGCTAACATCAGCATAGGGGCTCTCAGTACGGGTCTCCCATGGACCAAAATATTTTACATATTCCGTTTGAGAAAAACAGGAACTACTGATATTTTTTTCTCACAACCTATTGATGTAAATCAAGCATTTTAAAGAAATTCACTCCAGAGAAACCGAACTTCACTCTTTCCTATGTCAAGAAGAGAAAGTTTTTGATGGTATTGGTTTGTTTGTAAGTTAATTTGATCACAGGTGTTTTGTAACACAGCCTAGAACATATTACCTTTTTTTCAGAAGCTGGACCATAATCCAGTTTCGAGATTTTTTTCTAAGTATTACTTAACTTTTTGAAAGAAATGAGCTGCTTGTCAGATGTCTGAACTCTACGCTTTCTAGCTTCTGATTCAGAACATATATTATAATATCTAAATTTAAATAATACACGTTCTTCCGTAATTCATACTAGATGAAGTCCATAACCAATATTTTTTTATTAAACAATACAATTGTTAATAACCAGTGAGAAAAAAAAAATTGTTACAGAAAAGTTAGATAATTGTTTACCAGTCTAGGAGTAATACCCAATATATTCTGTGACTATATTACTTAAAGATTAAAGAGAGTGAAAATCAAGGTTTTATTCTTACTAGCATGTGTTAAAATGATGCAATGATTAACACAGATTAATAATCTGACTGTTTTACATAAATAAAAATAACCCAGAGGAACCAATGTCGTCTTTATTTGGCAGGTTGGACATTTTAAGTAAGAAAATATGTCAGTATGTGGCAGTAAGTGTTTTCTAAAAGTGAAGCTGTAAAATCAAGACAGTTTGAAGAAGATCAAGGGTCTAACATTGCAGCAATAAGGATGAGATGGAAGCAATTTGCATATCTACAGTTTTTCCCTGGGCATGCAGCCTAGAAACAAATAACAGCTTTCTAATTCAATTAGGAAGCTTCTTCATACATTCATTTTAGGTTATTATTTTCCATCCTGAATAATGGCATCATTTTTAATCAGTACCTGCGTGCAGCAGATCAACTTCACCTCTCGCTCTTTTGTAAATAGTTTCATTGTAAAAAAAGAAAAAAAACCTTCAACAACCCAACCAGAGATATTGAAATTTATATTTAGTAATTGCTTGGTAAAAGATTTCTAGGACCTAAATTATTTCACAATTAAAAATGCAAAACCTACTTGAAATTTTTTTTCCTGATACTATACTGAATAGCTAAAGGTTTACATGAAAGGTTTACAAGTTTTATTTGAAAGTAACAAATCTTAAAAGTTACAAGAGTTCAGTAGGTATTAGAGACCTGATTATATATATATATATATATATATATATATGTATATATATATATATATATATATATATATATATATATATATATATATATATATATATATATATATATATATATATATATATATATATATATATATATGTATATATGTGTGTGTGTGTGTGTAAGCCTTAGCATAACACTACATAAAGAGTTAGGAAAACATCTTGTAAAACACACTTAATTAGCTATGCAAAAAAAAAGAACAATCAGGAAGCAACTCAAACATCTCTAAGAAATAATTAAACTTATAGAATAAATAGATTTCATTTCTGTTGTTTAGATATTCTCTACTTATGAGGCAGAGCCATGGGCAATAGTCTTTCCCTTTGATCTTTATGCAGTTTTTGTTTTTTGGCAGCAAAAAATCCATGATCAAGATTATCTTTTGAACAAAAAAGCTCGCTATTTAAGCAAGATCTGTTTATGGTGGAATAAGTGTTTATCTCCGATTTGCATGCACTACATTGATCACAACTCTGTACATACATAATCCCCAACATTTTTTTGGGGGACAGATAGTGCACTGAAAGGAATTTAAAAGACTCATTGAGAACAGCAACACAATTCTGACAACAAATCCATCTCACCTAGCAATGCAATAAAATAGATAACATCAACAGCATAAAAGAACAGATAGGAAAATTACTTCAAATAACTCTCTTGAGGTGTTATATGAAAAAGGAAGTAAAATCCGTAGAATCAACTCCATCTTTAGTCCCCTAGAGGCTAAATTGAATCCATTAGACTCATTCCTTTCTACTGTCATTTCAAATGGCAGAAATTGGTTTGGTATCAACGACACTGCCACCCCTTCACCTAATCAGACATCCTGCTTGAAAAAAAGAATCATCTGATGCAATACTGACAACCTAATTTTGAAAACCTGAAGAAGGTAGACTGAATTTGTGAAAAGAAATAAATGTGCTCACACTTTAAAGAATTAATCAAGAGAGAAAATACACATTAAATAAACTTGCACACTCTCACTACACTGCCCTTTTGTTTGCTCAGTTTATAAAATGCTGTAAAGGAAAGACAAGCTCCTGTAGAGCCCAGCATAATTGCTGTCACTAAGTTAATGAGTCATTCAGCATGTGAATAACGGTGCATGTGAGGCAGAAGCACCAAACCATCAGAGCTCTTTTTGAGGTCTAGAAGTATGGGTGAGCAGGTCAGGAGGGAAAAAATGTGTTAACAAAGGTTATTCAATCATACATTGCAGTGAGTGACATTTTATAACGACAGCGCAGTTGCAGTAGTGTAATGTTTTCAATTCACTTTTGTATTATGGTGTCTGTGTTGCGCCCTTTGAAAGATATTACTATTGCACAATCCTGCTAATGACTTACTGCATAGTCTCTTATCAAGGCTGCATCTCCAGAGCAACAATGAGGAGGAAAGAGGGGGAGGGTGGGTGATAACACTACGAGAGGTAATGCACCTCTGACAGTTTTTAGTCTCTTACTGTGATGCGAATTGTGACTGTAGCCTGTCCCGGCGGCATTAGTCCTCCTTGGTCGACAGCTTCTACCTGGAAAGTGTATGAAGCCCCCATTCCCATAGCTGCCAGGCCCTCGAAGTCCAGGGTCTGCAGCACAGCTAGCTCCCCAGTGATAGGGTTAAGAGAGAACAACTGCCTGGCCGACTCAGTCTTGATGCGGTATGTGACATTGGAGAAGACATCAGCGTCCACAGCCTGCAAGAAAAAAAGAAGAGATGCAGGGGATATAGTACTGTAGAACACAGGAGATATATGGGCAAAAAAGCAGATGTTGAAAGGGAGAGGGTTTTGTTTTAATTTTGAAGTTAAGCTCTGGGGGTTATCCTAATCATTCCTTAATCAGATTGTCATTAAATTAAGCCACTGAGAAATACTGAAGTTCACTGAGTGAAATCCCAAATCCCAGAGTAGGTATGATTTCCAATGACTAATCCAATATCCTATGAGATTAAGCCTGCAGAGACCAGAGTTATTATAACCAAGGGAACATCTGAATTATTGACACTGTTTTTTCAGACTATAAGTTTATTTAGACAGGTAACAACATAAATGCTTGAGCAACCAGTCAAATACATTCTTTGAGAATTATAAAACTATGTATGTATAATAAAGAGTAGTATAAGAAAAAATTCTATAATGACATTTTTGGGGGTGGTCCGCAAAAAGTAACACATTACTACGGCATTGGATATTTATATAGGGATCATACATGTAAAGGAATCAGGATATTATAAATGTTTAACATAAAAAAAAGGAAAAAATGAATTTAGATATAACAGATTCAAGAATATATACAGCTGAATGCAACAAATGTTCTTATCCCTTGACCTTTTTCATAAGTGTCAATATACTTTTGGGGTGTTTCATGTGAAAGGCCACCACATAGTAGTCAATGATTTGAAAGAAAGAGGTAAAAGAAAATACATAGATGACTTTTGAAATTAAATATTAATTTAAAAAAGGGAAAAATGTCCCATGAATTCCTATTTATCACTCTTTACTCTGAAAAACTTAAAGAACATTCGGTGCAACTAGTATTGCATTCAAACTGACAGGTTCAACAGGCACAGCCTTAATTGTAGGAGTTGCCAGGAGGCCAATGACACACCTGGAGGAGCTGTACATCTTCAGCAGAATAACCTGTCTACAGGACAACTATTAGCTTGGCACACCACCAACCTGGCAATTATAAAAGAACGATAAAAAGAAAGGTAAAGGAAGGTATAGGAAGCTATGGAAGCGTATTGCATTCAAAAAAGAAAAAAAAAATCTGACAGCTAATCTTATAATTACGAGATCAGTACCTCGTAATGATGAGAAAAGATCTCATCATTAAGAGATACTGTCAGAAATGTCATAATTATGAGATATGTCAGATTTAGGAGATCAGGAAGGACAGTCATTGCTGAGCTACGCTACATGAAACGTGAACAATGAGTGGGTTGACAGATTTAATATGCTTTTATTTCCTTTTAGGTATGCAACACTGGGAAGCGACACTGAGTTTCCTCAATGTGGATAGAATTAGCTTTAGTTTGTGCAGTAAGTCCTTAGAATTGATAAAAGCCCATTATACTCCGACTTGCTGAAAGTAGCACTGTTCCTGCAGGAGCATTTAAACCAGCATGAGATGTGGAATTTGGAATTCCAATGCATATCAGGTCAGACCTGGGTACAGAGAACTGTGCAGTTAAACAGATGCAGATATTTTTAAGAAGTAATCATGAAGACTAGTTTTCTGAGAGATACTTCATTATTGGCTCAAGTAATCATGACGAAATATATAGACGAGATCTCGTCATTATTGGATCATATCTCGTAATTATGATAAAAGATCTCATAAATATGATATACTGATCTTGTAATTATGAGATAAGTTGTCTGACTTTTTTTCCTTTCATGAATGCAATACACTTGCACAGGAAGACCTGTTTACAGTTTGAAATAAACCATTTTAGGGACAAAAAAAAGCATAGATAAGAGATTCCTCTCGTCAAATGATGGATCCTTTTATTAGCAGGAACAGAAAAGCTGTTCAGGTGATGAGGAAGCTAAGATAGAAATTTGAAGGAAGATTTTAAAGTTTTTTTTAGAAAGAAATTTAAATAATCGTACTTTTTTAAAAATAAAATGAACTATTTTCTAGGCAGAAACCCTGATATTTAGTCTAATCAAAGCCAATTGAAGGGTTTGCCATTAATTTCCACAAAAAGTTGGAAACCATTTTCAAAAGGAAGCAACTTAAAAGAAACATACATGATGCTAAAACATATATAACTAAATACTATTTGTACATACATTTTATATAAGCCTCCAAACACCTTTACATCAGTTTAAAAACATATTGCTACTGCTTATATAAATCCAGTCTATGCCTGAGTCTTGTTGGTTTGCCAGTTGCCCTGCAAATATCTAACCTGCCACCGGTGTTGGCTTAGAGTTGAGATGTTGCTGTATAGTTTATGATAGTGTCACACTGCCACTGTCACTCAAACCCCTCATCTTCTTTACCTTCATCATCTTCTTCCTCTCCCCACCTTCTGCTGTATCTCTATCAAGAAGATGTCACTCACAATATGCCAGCAATTACTTTCCCCCCCTGCTAATGTTTGCTCTACATGCATATGTTTTTTTTTTCTATTCCTCAGTTCAGAGCAAGGATTGCATTGATATTTCACGGTGTTTACGCCAGATTTTATTTTTTGGGGCGGGGTGGGGGGTTTGAACAATGGTGATATTTGCCAGCGAAGATAGATCAAACTACTGAAGTATGATGTGCTTCATCATGTGCCTCAACTGCTTCATGAATAACAGCTTTAGGACTTGTTCTGTCAAAAATTTGACTTTGGTTAGAGAAAACGTGTGTCTCTCAAAGAACACTGTATTTTGGTAGGGAAAAATGTTACCCTTTGGAATAACTTTACTTTTCTAACACTGAGTGACAAACCTAAATGCTAGAGCAAGATCCAAGAGAAAAAAAAAACAGTGACTTTGACCATGAAAACTTACACTTAGTTTCAGAACTACAGTCCCGACAGGGGTGTTCTCAGGTACATTCACCACATAGTCTTGCTGTGAGAAGACTGGGCTGTTGTCATCAATATCCAGAACCTGGACTAATAGTGTCAGGGTGGTTCTTCTAGGGTCTACCGCCCCATCTGAGGCCTCAATCACCAGGTTATATTCATTCCTTAACTCCCTGTCAAGAGGCTGTCTTGTGTAGATGCTTCCGTTGGCACTGATCAGAAACAAATCCGGATGATTGACAATTCTGTAGAAAACCTGACCGTTGGCTCCAGCATCTGGATCAGTGGCCTACAGGGAGAGAAAATAAAACAATGTTTTACTGAAAGGACTTGACTTTAGTTTGGGACGCTTCATGTCAACAAATGGTTGCAACTGTTTTCAAGAAACTACAACTTAATACTGACAGCACCCTAAAGTAAGGAGGCTGGTCTTATTTAGACCATTTTATACAATCTAATTGACATTTTTGTTCTTGCACATCCCTGAAATAACTTTGATTTCTTGTTAAAGCTGTCTTAACTCATAAACAGTGGACATTGCTTATTAATTTGTAAGAACTTGTTACAGAAGAAATAGCAGATGAATACCAGATTATGACTTTAGAGCCGAACACATATTTCATCTTATGGAAACGGCAACTAGTTTTAGGTTTGATTTATTACATGACTTCTTTGAGCTTGGCAGTGTCTAGAGGCCTTGCATATTTACAAAGCTTTCAATTACAAAGCCCCTTAAGCTCATCATGCAGCCGAGCCAAAACAATTCCCATGTTTGAGTCGTACTTCTCTTGATTTTGAAACTCGTGAATTTGTGCCATTTGCCAGGCAAAAGAAAACAATATTTTTTCCATATACAGAAACAGAAACTAATTTAAAACAAACATTTTTAAATTACACATTAGATAAAGAATAAATTCAAATAAAAATATATAAGTCAAAGAAATGTAAGGATGAATCCACATTAATAGCAACTGTGGTTATGCAGAGGAACTTGGATGATTTACAATGTTATTATTTTCTCAATCTTTAATTCTAAATATTTCTTTTGTACATATCTTTTTTTTATCCTTTTTCTCCCCAGTGAACAGATTCTTTATACTTTTGCAAAGTAAGCAAAAAGTACCTGGTGTATTTAGTATGGAAAAGGAATTGATAAAAAAAAATCACTTTGACTGGAGTTGGCAAAGAATCTAAGAAAAAGATAAGAAAACCTGAGAGAACGAGGAAACTGGATAAGCAGAGTTGTGATACCTTTTATCTCTGACATGTGCTTTATTCTCTTTATCATTTACCCCACTCCAAGAGAGGCCTTGTTTGACTTGAATATCGAATCCTTACTGCTTTGTAAGAACTTAAACATATTTGATTTCGAACCAAATATATTTATATCATGAAAGTACATGTTTCTGGGATCTTTGATGAACAAAAAACTGTTGCTTTGATGCGCAGTAAAAAGAAAAGGAGAGTGGCCCTGCTGCTTCTCCTATGTATTGTACATCGTTCCATTCCAAAGGTTTTCGGTCCCTTTAATGAGATGTCAGAGAAAGGGCCAGTGGAACAATATGCTTGGGTACCTCCCTCACATCTTGCTGCACAAAGCCAACTTTTTCCATTTTTGTATGAAACACAAATTTAGATCTTTGAAATGATCTAAATGAAAGCCTAAGGAAAAAAAAAAACATAGTCACCACATGAAAACTCTACACAGTTCTGCCTTAGCAACAGTTTGTGCAGACTGACCTCTCTCAACCTACAGAATGACAGGAGTTGGGCCTTTAACAAACCACTGTGCATCCATCACCGCTGGACAGACAAATAAGCTGCATACATTCTTAGCTCACTAAAAAAACCCATTCCACTGAGAAGATACAGTACTTACAGGGTTTTTGCATTAAACAGAGATTGATGATGCAAATACAGTAAAAAGAAACGATAACATTGTTTTTCACCATAATATTAATGCAGTTTTTGAAACCTTATTAACCCTGAAAGATAAACAGTTTGTAGGAGAAGGTAGATCTCCACTCACTGTATTTTCTGTTTGTTTTTGTTTTTTATAAGATAACAGTCAGGGATAGCTGAGAGAGGCAAGCATTTTACTGCATAATCATATTAAGGTAGCAAATCCTGAGATTTTTCATTACTTGTGATTTTATTAAACATTAAACAGTGTGTATTAACCTTAAGATAGCCATGTTTAAAAAAAGTATAATTACGATTCTATGAGGGATCTAGCAGAGACATTTAGATAAGCATAACCTTACTGATTACTACCCTACAACTATCCCTTTCAACTAAGCACCTAATATGATTTGCTTGTACTTCTCTTTGAAAGCTGTGACAAAACTTCCTCCCCTAAAAAAAACTGTTTTGATATAACTGTAATAATTTTATTCACATTTACAGTATTTCGGTTAAACAGTTGACATATTTTTTGTTGTTCTTTGTTTTGCTTTATATTACAAAGCTTTGGTTCAACGTTTTGTGTCAATAATAATATAACACAGTTAAACGTGCTATTCCATCACAATATTATTACACTTTTTAAATGTTAAACTGGCCAAGGACCATATAGTAATAGATACAAACTTCTGTCTGATTTTTAAATCTTTTAGGAAGGGGAGCTGTGGGTAAGGTTATTATACAAGGTCACTGTAGGATATGCACTTCCACAGATATCTAGTGATGTGAGACTCAGTTTCAATAATTGAATTAAGTATATCAAGTAAACAACATGCAATGCAAGCAATGCTCATAATCCTAACAACTATGGGATTTGATGCCATAATTTTGATGCCTTTATGATGTCTCTGACACAAGCTCTCTTGAATATCTCCCCGGTTGTCAGCATTGCTGAGTTTACGGCTCTCCTGCTGAGAGCATAGAAAATGATTTTAAATTTTGCATGAATTGTCAGTTCCAGAAAACCCACTGTCACTTACGATAGCCAAATTGTTACTAATCTAATGGAGTGTGTGTAAAAAAAGAACAGGTGGGAACTGGTTCCAATTACTGTCACGATAATCCAAAGCACTTTAAGGCTAGCATTAAGCTACTTAAGAGCATTATGTATTTAGACTCCAGTCATCCAAACCAATGGCAGCTGCTTGGAGCTGTGTGGCTGCCTCCATTATGTCTCCCAGCCTGCAGGTGTATTCGAGCCAGCATCAGAAAAAATGAGCTGATTTTACCATGACATCAGATTTAAAAGGAAACTGCATGAATCTATACAAATAGTAGCTTTCCTTCATGGCTCTGCTTCTCATCTACTTGCATTTATGTCACTTGGATAGTTGCTTAACATGATGTGCAATTAGGAGCTGCAGGCTACTGTTTTTGGAGAGGAGCAAAATTAGTATAGCAAGACAGAAGAGGTTCATCTCTCAGATGTTATTCGGGAGGAAATGCAGTTAGCAGAAACTGATCAATTCTCAGCTTATCATAAAAGTATGATGAAACAGAGAGAAATGCTTGGTATTTATATAATAGTACTTCAAACACAATGCACCATATCAAGCTTCACAGCTTTTAGCAATTGTTGACCGGTTCAGGTGTGTTCAACATTATATGGAATAGCCATCTCTGTGCCCTGCGTATCTAAGGGGATGATACAAAAATTTCACAAAAATGACACACTTCACAAATTAAGTCTCCAAGTCAAGATTATTTAAAATTTGAAGGGGAATGGTCTCTTTGAATGCTGTGCAGTGAGCATGAGGTCTTAAAATGCTAATCTGAGCTCCCTGCATTAAAAAATGGCCTCTCTCTCTGAAGCCATGTCACTCTATCATGAAAGTATTACCTCAAGCAGATAAACTAAAAATAAATTCAAGGCAGAAAGAGAAATAAGAGTGGTTCATGTTGTTGTGCTCAATTTCCCATATCCTTTATAAATATACCAACACATGGATTAAACTTAAAAAGTCAATTTTACCTGACATACAGATGAAACTGATTATGCATTTGTTGATGGGTTGAGGTGAGCTAATGGACCTAATTCCAGGTTTAAAAAGGTTAAGAGAAGACTTAAAAATCAAAAATATATTTTTATCCCTGTAATAATGCATACATTTTATTGTAAATTGAGCAAGACTCCTTGTGTCCCTGCTTATTTAAGATGGCCTTATGGGCAGTTTATTTTTAAGATGATTTAACCCATTAAATCAGCTCTCTTAAACTGCTTTTACTTATGGATGCAGCTGTTGACTACTGCATTGGAATTTTCCCTTTGGTTCATATACAGTACTGTACATGTTGGTTGAGGCTTTTGTCCCTTTTGACACTCCCTCTCATAGCTTTGTCAATGTATTAGGGTATAAATAAACTCACTGAGACACAGGCTTCCATAAGGGGTTATCCCATATGGTATTTATATTGTAAAAACAATGTAAATATGTTATTTTTATATTACACTTTTTAATGTGCAAATTTGTATTAGTTTTGTTATAATCTTTTGCTGCTGTAACACCACAATATCCCTATTGTGGGACCATAAAGTCATTTTCTATTTTATTTTCTGATATATATATATATATATATATATATATATATATATATATATATATATATATATATATATATACAGTATGTATATATATATATATATATATGTGTGTGTGTGTGTGCGCTTTTATTACATGGTGGGGATAATTTTCCATAAATCTTAGCACATCGTGGGGACCGAGTGCCAATGTCTGGTCCCCATAGATAAAAATGCTTTTTCACGCTTAAGTGTTAGGTTAAGACTAAGCTGTGAACTGAGTTTAGGTTAGGGTTAGGTATGAACCCGTAATGGTTAGGGTTAGGGTCACGGTCAGGCTAAAGAAATGGTTTAGAAATGAACGGAAGTCAATTGAATGTGAATAGAGACACAGGTCTGTATGTGTGTGTGGGTGTGTGTTGAGTGAATATCCATACAGTTTACAATGAATTTAGCTTTTCAGATAAATGTATCTCCTCACATTTACTAATCTGCTTCAGCAAGCTGAAACGCAGCCTACGAATTTACAAACTCAGTAAAAATCATACTCTGGCTTTTCTATTAAGCCAGAGTATCATCTCATGATGGTGAGTTGCTGAATCAGAAAGCTTCCAAAGCAGTAGACATGGAAACACTGGTGACTTCTGACTTCAGAAGGCTTTGCTGCTTGCAAACATAAAGCTTGATTAATGTTTCTTTATGTTGTCTTTTTTACACATCATAAATTCATAATGTTCACAGATATAAACAATACAGTGACGAAGGCTAAAATGTAGGGAAACTTACAGTATTGGACTGCCTGTTTACATTTCCATGGAATAGAGGGAAATAAAACATGGACACATTACTAATGTCAGGTCCGATTATAACATAACTTATTTAACCAATTCCTTATGAGTTTTAGTTTAAAAAAAGGTACCAGAATGTTACAGAAATTAGACAATCTGTAGAGTAAATGTAAACAGTGAGTTTAATAAAAATAAGAACACAGTAGGTTGGTTTATATTCCTTTTCTGCATTATAAGGCATATATTGGCAGACACTGTCAACTATCTTTATTCCTGATTAATTCACTGTCAGAATCAGTCAATTTAATCTACATGAGTAATTAGAAAAATTTTGCAGCATACTGAGCTTAGCCAAGGCAGCCATCAGGGAGGCAGCTGCTGGTCAACTGTGTTGAGTAAAATTAGGTTAATTTAAATCAGCAAGAAAACAATGACTAAGTCATAGCTCTTATGTGGTGGCCATAAGAACACATGTGACTATGCAGCAAAAAACCACAACCGAAATCAATGGTGGCTGAAATATAAAGGCATTGACTTTAAAATGAGGAAACAATATAAGGAAGCTTTTCACTTACTCTGACTTGTCCAACAAACAGATTAGCTTGCTCTTCTTTAACAGTAAAGTTAGAGCTGAGGATGACTTCAAATTTTGGGTCGTTATCGTTGACATCAGTCACCACTATGTTTACAGTAGCAGTGGACGTCTAAAGCAGGAGGAAAACAAAACAAAGATCAAAAGGTTGTCTCTGTTTAAAATGATTATTTGACGGAAATATTAGTATATATATAAAATATAAAAAAATAACCCTATCACTGCACTGTATCTGCCTTGCATCTATATTGTGTCAGATGTGACAAGCATCAACTTTCGCTGAGGCATACACAATTACACATCAGCTAAACCAGCTAAAGTATTGACCACTGCAATACTTTGACACACATACATATATGTTTATATAGACAATCTCATATAATGCTATACAGGCTCTATCTACACAGAGAAACACTTACCTTGGAATCTTGATAGATCAAAAGCATCTAAAGCTGTCTAACCTAATAAATAATTAAGTTAATAATTGTTTTAATGATTTTCATGGGCTGTTTATAGGGCATTTGGAGTTTTAGATAAATGGGTAAGAAAAATAAAATCAGACAAATATATTTAGGTAGGAGGTTCTTTTGGAAAGAGCAATTTGACACCATTCACCTCAATAAATGTCTAATTTACAAGCACATCAAATGCCCCCAAACCCAGACATGAAAGGACTTGCACATCTTTTATGACAATGTGATTGAAAATGTTGAGGTATAATAAAATACACATAATCCGAGGTACCATATTACATTTGACCACAGGAAACCTTAAGAAAGCCCTATTGATCCTGGCCACACTAATTAGGAATCTGAATGAATGAACCAGGATCGATTTAGACAAATCACCATACAAATGACTTTGTTGAACCTACGTGTAAATATCTGTTTTATATAAATACTGGTCCTCCAAGATGTGGTAAGTTGAGTTGTCTACAAACCAGACAAACATACCTCTATTTTCCAATTATCAATTAATTTAGCAGGCAATGACGGTCAGATTTTGCATTTCTTATGCAGTGTACTGTATTTTAATGTACTTTTTTATAATCAAAGTGAAATTATTTACAGTTCTCCCGATAAATTACTGCTGCTTGGTTTGTCGTCCTGGTAAGGTTTACGGCAGTGAGGCAGTATTAAAGGATGACTGCACAGGGATTTAACAGGTCATGATCTAGCTTCTGAGTTGAAGTGATTTGTTTTTCCATTTCACTCAGATGAAAGTCTAATCTTGTCTATCTATTTTGTTTCTGGGTCTAATATATTTGCTTTGAAATTGATTCAAACTGTCTATATGCATATTTACACCTTGCGTAAATCTAGCTATTATGTTACTATAATAAAAGGCATTCCACCTGTGACACCTATCGTTTACATTTCCCGAAGTTTAGCAGCCTTAGCAAGCAAAGCGATTTCTGCCATCTAAAGGATCACGTGTTAACATTTTGTCAATCTTAATCTCCGGGTAGATCACAAATGTAGTATTGTTTGTTTTTAGATTGCATGGCATAAAACAACAAAAAAGGTATTAAGGAAGTGTGCTTTAGGCTGGCTGTTTTTAGTTCTGTCCAATAATGCACCAGAGTAGGGTCAGGGCAAAAGAAATGAAGGATTTAAATGGCTTAATATAGATTCATGCAGTAATGCAAAGGTAGCAGATCCTCCTTTTTCAAAGTAACAGAAAATGGATGAAAGTCACAGTGGATTTGGCTGTTGCTGCAGTGGTTTTCTAACTTCCTATCTTGCCATATATTTGGTTTTGATACCCCAATGGGAAGTAGAAGTATATTTATTAATTTGTTTTCCTGAATATCCATGATAATCAAAAAAGTTAATATTTTGGTTCAAAAGTAAACCCATTCTAAATAAAATAGTGTTTTATTATTGTGAATGTAACTGTGGCAAGCATCTGTTGTATATAATATGAATATGAAAGCTTTTTCTAGCTGCTCTATAAAATATATATATATATATATATATATATATATATATATATATATATATATATATATATATATATATATATATGGTGAAACAAAACAGAAGATCAATATTATATGATAGTTTTCTTGTAGTACCTATCACATAAAACTGTAAGTCATATATAGTAAGTAAATCATCATAGCAATTTTTAGTAAGTGACTGCTGTTAATCTTGGTGTGCAACCCAAAACATGTTTTTCTATTGGAGGTTTCACTGTCTGTATGATGCACACATAAATACATTTTGCAATACAGATGCAATTATAGTATTTATTAGGAGTAAACTCTATACAGTCAAAAAATCCAAAAAGCTTTTTTTAAAATATTGATTTAACACTAAACATTACATCGTGGAAGGAAAGCATAAACACTGCTTTTATCATCAATTTTTAAGAGGTCTCAAGTTAGATCTGAAAATTATGTTTTAAATTAGTATTTCTGTTGGTATTTTGATAAGTTGTGTAAACCTAAACCCCACTGCACCGCTCATTAGCAGGGCCAACAAGGATAAGTGTATAGCTGACAACCTTAAAACAGGAGCATTGTTTAAACCCATACTGCATTTATATAAATCAACAGAGAAAATTGCATTATATACACAAACTATAAACTTTTATTGTCATGGGGCAATTAAGCCTGCAAATAATGGTAGGGAGAGCATTTCTTTTGGGGCAAGAACATGAGTGACTGCGCGATGGAGCATGTGGGAGAAAATACTCCAGAGAAAACAGCTGTTTGAAGCTTTACTGGCAAGAGAGACAATTACCACATCAAAGACAAACATGGCATGGTTAACAGAGTCAAGACTATCGTTGGGGAATCCTTTGTTATTGTTTTTCGTCGTTGTTAATTAATAATGACACTGTAACAGCTATAAAGGACATGGCAAGGCAATGTTAAGACTCCTCACACTGGCAATAGAAAATCTATTAAATAAATGAAGCTCACCATGTGGTAATTTGTGGATTATATTAACTCATTTTTAATTTCAGGAAGAGATTAAAAGGCCAGTTAGGGTCAACATCTAAATGTTGTTTTAGTAAAAAACAAAAAACAAAAAAAACAAAACAGGCAAAAAGTATCTAAACCCATAGAAATTTAAATTAAAATACATACCAAAAATTCTGTCTAAATCCTTACAGCGTACATTAAGTTCTGGGCTCTTGTTGTATTATTTTCTGCCGACGTTCTAATTTTCTAAAAGTTGAACTCAAAAATTTGTGCCCTCAGATATTCGGGTGAAAATGAATTCTTACCAGAATTTACTATTGTAAAATTAAAGCAGAGAGTTGGCAGGAATGGAGTAAATGAAAAAAAAATAAAATAGTAGTCTTTAGTCAGAACAATTTACATTTTATGTAAAAATCAACAGCTTGAGAAAATGTTATATCTATTTACAGGTGCTGGTCATAAAATTAGAATATCATGAAAAAGTAGATTGATTTCAGTAATTCCATTTAAAAAGTGAAACTTGTATATTATATTCATACATTACATACAAACTCATATATTTCAGATGTTTATTTTGTTTAATTTTGATGATTACAAATGACAACAAATGAAAATCTCAAATTCATCATATCAGAAAATTAGAATATTACTGAAGACCAATAAAAACAAAGGATTTATAGAAATGTTGGCCAACTGAAAAGTATGAACATGAAAAGTATGAGCATGTACAGCACTCAGTATTTAGTTGGGCCTCCTTTGGCCTGTATTACTGCAGCAATGCGGCGTGGCATGGAGTCGATCAGTCTGTGGCACTGCTCAGGTGTTATGATAGCCCAGGTTGCTCTAATAGTGGCTTTTAGCTCTTCTGAATTGTTGGGTCTGGTGTATTGCATCTTCTTCTTCACAATACCCCATAGATTTTCTATGGGGTTAAGGTCAGGAGAGTTTGCTGGCCAATTAAGAACAGGGATACCATGGTCCTTCAACCAGGTACTGGTAGCTTTGGCACTGTGTGCAGGTGCCAAGTCCTGTTGGAAAATGAAATCTGCATCTCCAAAAAGTTGGTCAGCTGCAGGAAGCATGAAGTGCTCTAAAACTTCCTGGTATGTGGCTGTGTTGACCCTGGACCTCAGAAAACACAATGGACCAACACCAGCAGATGACATGGCACCCCAAACCATCACTGACTGTGGAAACTTTACACTGGACTTCAAGCAACGTGGATGAAGTGCCTCTCTTCTTTTCCTCCAGACTCTGGGACCTTGATTTCCAAAGGAAATGCAAAATTTACTTTCATCAGAGAACATGACTTTGGACCACTCACCAGCAGTCCAGTCCTGTTTCTCTTTAGCCCAGGCAAGACGCTTCTGACGCTGTCTGTGGTTCAAGAGTGGCTTGACACAAGGAATGCGACAGCAGAAACCCATGTCTTTCATACGTCTGTGTGTGGTGGTTCTTGAAGCACTCACTCCAGCTGCAGTCCACTCTTTGTGAATCTCCCCCACATTTTTGAAGGGGTTTTGTTTCACAATCCTCTCCAGGGTGCGGTTATCTCTCTTGCTTGTACACTTTTTTCGACCACATCTTTTCCTTCCCTTCGCCTCTCTATTAATGTGCTTGGACACTGAGCTCTGTGAACAGCCAGCCTCTTTAGCGATGACCTTTTGTGTCTTGCCCTCCTTGTGCAAGGTGTCGATGGTCGTCTTTTGGACAACTGTCAAGTCAGCAGTCTTCCCCATGATTGTGTAGCCTATAGAACTAGACTGAAAGACCATTTAAAGGCTTTTGCAGGTGGTTTGAGTTAATTAGCTGATTAGAGTGTGGCACCAGGGGCCATCAATTTTGAACCTTTTCACAATATTCTAATTTTCTGATATGATGAATTTGAGATTTTCATTTGTTGTCATTTGTAATCATCAAAATTAAACAAAATAAACATCTGAAATATATGAGTTTGTATGTAATGTATGAATATAATATACAAGTTTCACTTTTTAAATGGAATTACTGAAATCAATCTACTTTTTCATGATATTCTAATTTTATGACCAGCACCTGTATATCTGACATTATGTCCATGAGTTTTTGCAGAAGGACTGTTCAGAGAATCCACTGCATAACTTTGAGAAAACAGGTATAACCTTTGATTTTACAACAAAGACACATTAATGAGGGCTCTA